GGCGCGATATGGTTCATGGGGTCACGAAGAGTCAGACACCACTTAATGACTGAACAACAACAAATAATAATTAATAAATCTTAATAATAATTTTCAAATGATTTCTCCCCTTCTTTCCTGTTACTCTCCAGAAAACAAGGGAAGGTCCCTTCTGAAATGTTTCCCACGTCATCCCCTTTTCTGTGGGCTGAGACACCTTTTACATGCCAGTTGTCCAGTCTGAGGCTCTCCCCCCTGTCTCCCAAGGCCATTCCCACAGCCATTGACCAAATCAGGTTGATTCATCTGCCTTTAGGGGTGCTCTCTCACCCCCAAAGCTAGAGCATGCCCTAGAGATTCATCTGACATATTGCCGTTCAGCACATTTTTTGCTTCTTCCACCAAGTTGTCCATTGGTCTTCACAGAAGTCTGTTAGCATCCATAACAGGAGAACCATTATGGAAGGTATCAGGGAGCATGGTGAAGATGTGGCCTTGACTTGCTCCCCTTGTAATATATGCAGAGCATATAGATCCTGCTTATCTTTCTGAGATCAGCCAAGATCAATTAAGTGCTGCCTCTTCACTGGTCTAGTTTATATAGGGCTGAACTTGGAAAGCCTTTGAATAGTCTCCAAATTGCTAGGCAGAGAAATTGGGTGGGCCATTTCCCCAAATTTCTCCTCCAGCCATTTCTCAAGGGCTGGGCTCCCTCTTAGGGTCCCAGGAGCACCATGACTGCAAAAACTACCCCCCCACACCAGGGAAGAATTCCCTGCTGAGGTTCTCCTTTGTGATTCACTGGAAAATGGGAACTCAGAGATGCTGCAGATGGCTGGAGAGAGGATGGTGCCATGAAAGATGGAGCATTTACGCACAGTCCTTGGCCAGCTTGTCACCAACTGAATGCAGGAACATTACTCTGCACCCCCCAGAATGTCTCCTTCTGTGAAAGTGCTTGTGTTGCTAATCTGCTTTCATGCCACTGAATGAGAATGGGGGGAGGGGGTGCGGCAGCAGGGAGCAGATCTTTTTCTTCCTCGTGCTGCTTACAGAGAGCCAGTTTGGTGTAACGGTTAAGGCACCAGGCTAGAAACCGGGAGACTGTGAGTCCTAATCCCGCCTTAGGCACAAAGCCAGCTGGATGTCATGGTATGTGGGAAAGACCTTGGGAGAGGGGGCCAAGAGACGCTGCCAAGGGAACAGTCAGATAAGAGACGGCATAGTCCTCAGCTGGAGAGTTGGTGGGGCAAAAGGCTCAGACCTCCCTAGTTTCTCAGGCTGAAAGGGAGACAAGGGGAGGACTGTGCTTTCAAACTTGCAAGATTGATATTGGCCTCATGGAGTAAACCAGATAGGAATCACAACCAGATGAGCTAATTCTAATTTATTGTAAAGCTACATTGATAGAATCTTGCAAGTCTAACAGTACAATTCTCCTCCCGTCTCCATAACTTAACTTAACTTAACTTAACTTAACTTAACTTAACTTAACTTAACTTAACTTAACTTAACTTAAGGAGGGTCCCTTCTGAGCCTCTTGCCCCTTCCACTATCCAGCTGCGGGCGATGCTGCCTCTTATCTGACCATTCCCTTGGCAGCATCTCTTGGCCCCGTCCCCCAAGGTCTTTCCCACATACCATGACATGGGTGACCTTGGGCCAGTCCCTTTCTCAACCCTAGGAAAAAGAGGGCAACGGCAAACCACAAACCACTTCTGAAATCTCGCCAAGAACACTGTAGGGAGTAGTCCAGGCAGCCACCAGGAGTCAACAATGACTCACAGGCACACACACAATCCAATACAAAATACTGCTTACACATACACATCCAACATCATTGGATATGAGTGGTATTGGTGAGAAAGTTTCTCTGTGGGCCTAGTTTGCCCATTGATTGACACCTGATGGAAGGGGGAGGAGGAGGACGGTCTCCCGCCCCTTCCCCAAAGGAGCAAGCAGCCCCTGCTCATATTGCAGCAAGCAGGAAAGCCCCATGGATAACCGAGAGACCCCCGACCCGAAATCCACCCGAAAAGCCACGTTTTCAGGAACTTTCGCCCTTTGGAGGGGGGTTGGAAGAAGGTTTTCCGGCCAGGCAGGAAGAAGCGCTTGCGTCCGCTGCCACTGATCGACCTTGGTGAGTGAAAAAGTGGCTTGAATCCCACACAGTTAAATCTTTCCCGAGGCGTATTTGTTTATTGGATCTATAAAACGCTTCCCTCGAAGCGGCGCACAAAGCGGGGCTATCGACTTTTGCAACCCCTGCTTACACCCGCGCCCGGATCCTTGCAGAGC